TTAGTAGAAATGGGGTTTCACCATGTTGGCCAGGCCAATCTCGAACTCCTGACCTCAGTTGATCCATCTGCCTTGACCTCCCAAAGTGCTGGGATTACAGACATGAGCCACTGCACCAGGCCTGAGATACTTCAAAATAGTTTTAAAAGCAGAGAAAATCTTGAAGGTTTTCTCTCCTTCATTTCATAAATGTGCTGTTTAATCATATGAAGTTACAAGCCTCCTGAGGCTAGAACCATATTCCATTCTCCTTTCCTATGTCCTGAGTTGCCTAGGCACGTGGTAGGTACTTAATAAAACCTTTGGTTCAAAGAGTTGTATTAAAAGAAATCCTGCACCTTCTGCTGACAAAAATGTTTGCTAATGGCAAGCAAACTGGAAGACAGAAACAAGCAAAATGGTGACGTCCATCTATTATATTCAAACTATTGTTCCATAGGGAGCTATACTCCAAACAGCTTCTGGATGTTCACTTAGCTCTCAGCTGCCAAAATTTTCTCAAAATGGTTGTAAAAATTCATGAAGCTATAGGACTGGGCGAAAACCATAGGGTCTAAAAGAATTCGGAAACTTACATAGTTAATGTAAGGAAAACATCAAAGGTATTCTTTAAAATGGAGATATTTCAAGTACATTGGCATTTCTGGGGAATAAATAAATGGAGGAAACAAAAGAGTCAGGAGCAGAAGGTCACTATACAATCTCTAACACAAAGGCATGATCAGAGAAAATGGAGAATAGGAGAAATGTTAGTAATTAATATAAATGGTTTTCATGCTGAAAGTGGTAATTTTTTTAGTGGGGTATACATGAAGTAATGTATGAGTTGGAGTACTATGATCTGGGAGGCTTGGCTAATTCACAAATTCTCTGAGCCTCAGTTTTCTTACTTGTTATATGGGGATCATAGAGGTTTTATGGGGTTGCTTGACCAGTGTCTTGCATAGGGTAGGCTATTGAGCACCAAATGAATAAACATTGACTATATAAATAAATAAACAAATGAGTCAGAAAATATACATGAAAGGGTTTTATTAACAGGCAAGTGCTAAACAAACATGAAGGATTAGTGTTAAGATTGCATGTGCTTTGTCGCAGGGCTTTTCTCTGAGATCTGTCTTCTTCAAGTGGAATCCATGGCCAGTACAAGTAATGTGACTACGTTGATTTTCACCGGCCTTTTCCAGGATCCAGCGGTGCAGAGAGTGTGCTTTGTGGCGTTTCTCCCCGTGTACCTGGCCACAGTGGTGGGCAATGGCCTCATCGTTCTGACGGTCAGTATGAGCAAGAGTCTGGATTCCCCCATGTACTTCTTCCTTAGCTACCTGTCCTTGGTGGAGATCAGTTACTCCTCCACTGTTGCCCCTAAATTCATCACAGACTTACTTGCCAAGATTAAAACCATCTCTCTGGAAGGTTGTCTGGCTCAGATATTCTTCTTCCACTTCTTTGGGGTTGCTGAGATCCTTTTGCTTGTGGTGATGGCCTATGATCGCTATGTGGCCATCTGCAAGCCTCTTCATTATATGAACATTATCAGTCGTCAACTGTGTCACTTTCTGGTGGCTGGTTCCTGGCTGGGGGGCTTTTGTCACTCTGTAATTCAGATTCTCGTCATCATCCAATTGCCCTTCTGTGGTCCTAATGTGATTGACCACTATTTCTGTGACCTGCAGCCTTTATTCAAGCTTGCCTGCACCGACACCTTCATGGAGGGGGTTATTGTGTTTGCCAACAGTGGATTATTCTCTGTCTTCTCCTTTCTCATCTTGGTGTCCTCTTATATTGTCATTCTGGTCAACTTGAGGAACCATTCTGCGGAGGGGAGGCACAAAGCCCTCTCCACCTGTGCTTCCCACATCACAGTGGTCATCTTGTTTTTTGGACCCGCCATCTTCCTCTACATGAGACCCTCTTCCACTTTCACTGAAGATAAACTTGTGGCTGTATTCTACACGGTCATCACCCCCATGCTGAACCCCATCATTTACACACTCAGGAATGCAGAGGTGAAAATCGCCATAAGAAGATTGTGGAGCAAAAAGGAGAACTCAAGGAAGGAGTGAAAAAGAGCTTAGGGATGAAAAGTGATACAAAATGTATGTCTGATTACTCTCTGTTCTTGAAATGGATTTTGATTTTAGTGGGATATTCAAGAACGACAGAAACAAATATAAAGGCTTAATGATACTACTGCTGTGATTCTCCTTAGCAACCGAAGACACTCGGTATCCTGGTGTAATGTTTGAAGGACAGAGGGCAGATAGCAACAATATCATGGGCTTGGGTAATATAAAGCCTCAAACTAAGTGCAAATGCAAAGGAGAACATGTGGACAAATGTTTTTTAGATTAAATCACTTCGTCCTGTTACCTCCTCCCTTCCTCACTTCTTTTCTTTCTCCCTTTTGCTCTTCCTCCTTCCTCCCTCCCTTCCTTCTTTTCTTCCTTCATTCTTTCTCCCCTCTTTGTTCAAACTCCCTCATGATAACAAACTCTATTTCATTAAAAAAGGAAACCAACCAGATGAATTATCAGGGAATATTTAGGAAGGAGGGCACCAATCTGATCTACAATGTTGACAAGTATGTCTTTGAAAATTACATCCAGGAAGGCCGGGCGTGGTGGCTCATGCCTGTAATCCTGGCACTTTGGGAGGCCGAGGCGGGTGGATCACGAGGTCAGGAGTTCAAGATCAGCTTGGCCAAAATGGTGAAACCCTGTCTCTACTAAAAACTACAAAAATTAGCTGGGCATGATGGCACGTGCCTGTGGTTCCGGCTACTTGGGAAGCTGAGGCAGAAGAATCTCTTGAACTCGGGAGGTGGAGCTTACAGTGAGCCGCGATTGTGTCACCGCACTCTAGCCTGGGCAACAGGTCGAGACTCTGTCTCAAAAAAAAAAAAAAAAAAAAAAAAAAAAGAGAGAAAATTATATCCTGGGACTACTTTTCTATTCTTTTTGGTTGGCTCTTGGTATCTTGTACCATAGACCATCTGGCCATGAGCCCCAGAAAAGTCCCTGGAGCAATTTTACTTCTTGTGACATGTTTTCACAAGAGATGGTCCTTCAATCTCTCTGGTCTTTATCACAATGTCTAACATTTGCAAACAAAATAATGTCAAAAAGACATAATTCTACCTATCAATATGGAAAGATCAAGTCAAATATTTTCACAAATACAACGTTTCACAAAAGCATTGTTAGTCTTATCCAGATGTGAAAAATACATAATGTAAGAAAATGCTTATTAGGCCTAACTTAAAGAATGAAAGGGAGGGTGATACTGTCCAAGCATGCTTCTACTCCAGACCTCTGTCCCTTGTTCTAAGTGACCATGAAAGGCCATTTCTTTTAATGCCTATTAGTATTTCTTGGGGAAGGGAGATGAGATAGTCTGTGTCTGCACTTTTGGTTAACTTCTCAGCATCTCCGCCTTACCCCATTGTTTCATATAATTGTACATAATTTATAGACTATCATGAAGTTGGCCCCTGTTGGCTTTAAAATTGCACATATTGGCATTGAGTTTGCATGACATCCTCCGCTTTTTCTTGAGAATCAGGCGAAATAATTCAGACAGCTTCCCTAGCAGAGGGATGGAGTATCATGGGTGTGCTATAGATCTTAGGGCTTTTTCCTTTCTATTGTAGGCACTGGTTGAACACATAGGTAAATAGTGGTTTTAAAGGCACCAGCAAACTTTTCTCACTTCCCTTAGTGTTCCCATTAACGCTGTCCATAGACGACCATCATTAATCCCTGAGAAAATGCTGCTGCTTCTGCTTGGAATAACTTTACTTCCCTTTTCTGTATGACAAAATTGTATACATTCTTCAAGACCTAGGTTCAAGTCATCTTCCCTATAAGACCTTCTCTGACTTCCCTCCTCTTTGGGTTGAATTTATGTCTCCTTTCCACAGTCATTTTTACATATTATTGCCTTATCACTTCAATTCTAATTATTTGATGTGTTTCTCTCTCAGTAGACTGTAAGCTCTCAAGGGCAGGACTGTCCAGTGTCCCTTCTTTGCAGCTCTAAATATCATGCACATAGTTGATACTTTGTGCATGTGGAATAAACAACCCTTTGGGCTCGTGCACAATCCTCGCTATATCAATTCTTACAGGTTCTTTTTGAACACTTTCATGGTGAGGAGCACATCTTTCTGCTGAAATTCTAAGAGCTCAGGCTCTGACATTTGTTAGGCTGTTCCAATTGCCTGTGAGCCACAACCCAAGAGCCAAAGTACTTAACTTCCCTGAACAACTGTTTTTGTGTAAATATAATGACTAACAATAATATGAACTTTATAAGATTATTCTGGCTGGGCACGGTGGCTCATGCCTGTAATCCAAGCACTTTGGGAGGCCGAGGCAGGTGGATCACTTGAGGTCAGGAGTTTGAGACCAGCCTGGCCAACATGGAGAAACCCCATCTCTATTAATTCGCCAGATATGGTGGTGTGTACCTGTAATCCCAGCTACTTGGGAGGCTGAGGCAGGAGAATCGCTTGAACCCGGGGGGTGGAGGTTCCAGTGAGCCAACATAGTGCCACTGTACTCAGCTTGGGTGACAGAGTGAGACACCGTCTCAAAAAAAGAAAAAAAAAAAGAAAAAAAGGGATTATTCTGAATATTAAATCAGATAATATACCTGAAAAGCTTTTAGAAAAGAACATGGTCATCAATAAGTATTAGCCATCCTCATCTTCATCATTAGAACTGGTTACTAATTTTTTTTTTTTGAACAACTCAGCAAAATAAAATTCCTGTTTATTGTTGGACAACATTGTTTCACACATACATCAAACAGGCCAAAAAAAAAAAAAAAAAATAAATAAATAAATAGCAACTTCATAGACAAAAAAGGGAAAAAGCAAACCTTTTATCTTTGGCCTTTTTAACCATCTCATACAAACCAACTACTTATAGTATAGCTAAGTACATACACAAAAAAGTTACTGGAATGCTCGGAATAAGATTGTTTTTCTGCTGTTGTTTTTGCTTTTTTTACAAGTTTTTTTTTTCTCCTTTGAGATTATAATGAACATGGTCACACCACAAGTAAAGTCAGCTCTGAAGGCTGGTTTGGTCATCCGAGATCATTAAAAATGGCTGACCCTAACAATATGTACAAAAATATAAAATGTAAATAAAAAATACAAACAAATTTCCTTTTTAAAGCACTTTTAAGAAAAAAAGCAGGGTCTTGGAAGTTTTGGTTCTTTTTTCCTCCCCTGTTGCAAATTCTCATCGTTTGGGTTGGGCGGTGGAGAGCGCGTGTCATCTGCAGGTGGCACTGCCCACGGTGGGGGGCGGGCGGGCCTCTCTGCTCGCAGGTGACCACGTTTAGATTCTGAGACGGGAAGTGGAGGGTGAATAGGTCACGGAGGGCTTTTTTTTAGTTTAACTTTTACTTTTTTGCTGTCTAGTCATCCTCGTTGGTCTTCTGCTTCTTGGTATCAACATCGTCATCCTCATCATCTTCACCTGCCCGCCTGCCCATAGCTGACTCAGCTTCCTCATCTTCATCTCCATCCTCTTCCTCACCATCACCTTCTTCTTCCTCCTCCTCTTCCTCCCCACCTTCTTCCTCTTCCTCATCTACCTCATTGTCAGCCTCTTGCTCCCCATTTTCCTCATTCTCAGCATTCCCGTTAGCAGGGGCGTCTCTTCCATTTTCTGCCTCTTCCACAACTTCCTTTTTCTCCTTTAAGTCCTTGGTGGTGATTTCGGAGCTGGTGTCTACGGCTGCGTCTGACATGGTGGGGCACGCCGGTGATCCGATGCAGGGGATTAAAAAGAAAGCGAGAGTTCAGCGACTCTGGCGATAAATCTGCCCGAGTCCGCGGAGCGAGGAGGCAGACGAGGAACAATGCAAAGATGGCTTTTCAGAGCAGCCAGTCTGGTGATTAATTTTATTTTGTGTGATGACTGCATCTCTGCCCACGCAATGATCATTCTGTCCTGTAGAGCTACTCAGAATAGGCCTTGATTCCACCCCAAAAGCGTTCAAGCATTCTAAGGTAGTTCAATACACATTCTCTGTTGCACGCTGCATTGCTTCTCTGAACGTAAGCATTCTCTGTTAGACCATCTCCCTGGCGCATCATAGGTACTCACTTAGTATTTGTTAAATAGATGTTGACTGTAAAATAGCTTCCCTATACTTTTTTATGCTAAATGCTTTCATATCTTGTTAATGTATATTTTAAAACATCTGCTCCCGAACTAAACACAGTGAAGTCACCCTTCCTTTCTCTTGCTATCTTGCTTGTATTAAAGCAGGCTAGGACTTTAGGATGCAGGTTGTGGTAGAAGTCCCTTACTCAGGGGCAGGCTTGGTTTCCTCTCTGAGAGCTGTGGATAGGACACCATCAGTGAACTCTGAGTGGTTGGATACTGCACAGGCAGATAATATCTACTCTAACTGAATGGTCAAAATTCTTAGGGATCATGTCACCTACCTCTCAACCCTCAAGAGAGCTGAGACTTAGATCTGTTGAGAGCTGATGACTCACTTTGTTCTGGCCTTGCTGAAGGAAGCACAGAAGTTAAAGGAAAACATTTTTTTTCATTGTTTTATGAGACAGAGAATGTTGTAAAATTTTAAAAATGTCTTCTCAATGAACAAAAGTAGTATCGTCTAATTATACCACTTAGCACTGGAGAACATGTAGTTAGCTCTTGGTCACTGATTTTCTCACAACATCAAAAATGTATTTTTAAGAGAATCAATATAATATGCTTTCTTTAAAGAAAAATTAGTAAAGTGCTGTAAACTACTCAGATATATAATTTTGTATCCTCTGTCCATTAATTATTTGTATTCATTTAGGTATAGGTTTGACTGCATGTAACAGGAAAAAAAGGAACTTTTAATGAGATAGAATTAAAAAAGTTCAGGGGCAGAAAGTCCAGCCCTGATGGAGATATTCTATATCTGTGCAGTTCAATATGGCAATGCTTCTGAGCATTATGGTATAGGGAAAAAATATGGTAGTGTCTACAGAGCACTTGAAGTATGGCAAGTGAGACCCACAAAGTGAATTTTTAATTTATTTACTTTTAATAAGTTAATCTCAATAGCCACATGTGGATGACATACTGGACAACACAGCTCTAGCATTGCATTTCTATTCCAGGGGACAGGAAAAGAGAAAGGAGGGGGAAAACTGATCACTTTCCCTTTTAAGAGATTTTCCAAAGGTGCCATATAGCGCTTTTGCTTTCATCTTACTTGATAACAATTACTAGCGTGGTGAAACTTAATTGCAAAGGGGGCAGGGAACTATAATTTTTTTTTCGAGACAAAGTTTCACTCTGTTGCCCAAGTGGAGTACAGTGGCACCATCTTGGCTCACTGCAACCTCCCCCTCCTGGGTTTAAGCGATTCTCATGCCTCAGCCTCCTGAGTAGCTGGGACCACAAATGTGTGCCACCATGTCTGGCTAATTTTTGTATTTTTAGTAGAGACAGGGTTTCACTATGTTGACCAGGCTGGTCTCGAACTCCTGGCCTCAAGTGATCCACCCCCTCAGCCTCCCAAAATGTTAGAATTACAGGTGTGAGCCACCACACCTGGCCAACTATAATCTCTTATAGTGTGTGGAGTTGTGTTCAGTGAAAATTCAGGGTTCTGTTCTGTTCCTAAAGAGGAAGAGGAGAATGGGTGTAAGGATTGGCATAGAGTCTCAGGCACTTTACACAATTTCCATGTAATTATAATTTTTTCATAAATGAGGTTTGCAATATCACAGAGTCTCATTGTTGCCTAATTCACTTAATTATTCACTCATTTCAGGACTTTTAAGGTCATTTAATAATTTACTCAACAAGACTCACTGAGCATATGTTACATGCCAGGTGTTGTTCTAGAGATGTGGTGGTACTTAAGACAGAGACCATTCCTGCCTTCATGGAGCTTGCTTTCTAGGTAGACATTCTGTTTTCTGAAGCTGCTGTGGTCTGGATCAGCATTGCCAATAGAACTTTCCGTGATAATGGAAGTGTTCTTATTGTACGAATACACGCTAGTCCCTAGCCACGTGGCTACTGAGTCCTTGAAATATTTCTAATATGACTAAAAACTAAATTTTAAATTTTAGTTAATTTTAATTAACTAAGTAGATGTAAATAGTCACACATGAGCAGTGGCTACCAAACTGGGCAGCAAAAGTCTAGAGCACTTCAATGTTTACTTCTGCTTCAAACTTGTAGCTCTTACTCAGGGTCAGCAGCAAGACTGCCCTTGTCCCTGGACAGTGATGGCTCTGTGGCTTTAATTTCAGGCTTTCACTAGTCAGCTCTTCTAACTCACCCTCACATGGTCATCGGCTCACCACCCCTCACCCCAGTGAGGTGCCAAGGTGGCTGGAGAGAAGGGGCACAGTGCCAGCCCATGCCATTCCCAGTCCACCTTGCCCCTTTGTCTCTCCACCTGCACTTCAGGAATGAACTTCAGGCCTGTGTGACCTCCTGCCCCATGATGAGCAACGTCTTACAGGGACCTTTTGCATCATTTGACACAGCTGACTAGTCTCTCCTGGAAACTATACATCTTTGTTTCCATGATCCCATTCCCTCTCGGTTCCTTTCCTAGCACACTGGCCGCTCTTCTCAGTTCCCTTTGCCGATGCCTTCTTATTTCTCCAATTTCCAAGCATCTCTACCTGACCCAGGGCTTCATTTTCAAACCCCTGCCCTACCTACTCAAGGAGTTCCCATTGAGTCTCCCAGCTTTCAATAACACTCATGAGTTTATGACTCTCAAATTTATAGCTTCAGCCTGGACGTCCTCCCTGAACTATGATGTATATACTCAACTGTCTACTCAACACCTCTGCTGGGAATTTTTGAAAGGTAACTTCACTTAATGTGTCTAAAAACGGAACTATCTTCCCCACTCCCCTGCTTTTCCCACAGTCATTCCCAGCTCAGTAAATGCAACTCTGGTCCAATTGCTGAAGTCTAAAACCTTGGAGGTGTCCTTGATTTCTCTCTTTTTCTCACTCCTTGCAATAAAAGACCAGAAAATCTTGTTAGTTCTACCTTCAAAATACGTCCAGAATCTGCCTACCTCCTAAAATCTTCATTGCTACCATGCTGGCTCAAGTCACAGTCATCTCTTGACTGGCTTATTGTAATGGTCTCATGACTAGTTTCATTGTATTTCCCACTTTACTTCATTCTTCTCAAGACAGCAGCCAGAGATCCTAGTAAGAGATGACCTTTCCTTACTACCTTATGTAAATAATATCCACCAGCTTTCCCCATCATACTCAATCTGTTTTATTCTTCTCTGTAGAACTTATTATCTGATTTGCCTATCCAGTTTTATTGGTTTACTCTCTGTCTCCATTTCCATTATGTGCTGGTGGGGATATGAAGGGTGCAACCTCCACACGTCTAGGCACTTTGTTTCTTCACTGCCAAATCTTCAACACCTAGAACAGTGCTTGGCACTTAATAGGGCTCAATATTATTTGTTGAATGAATGAATGAATGGGCAAATTACATCTCCTTCAGAAGAAATTCTCATCATATTACATGATTATGACCCACTTTCATCATTGATGGGGAGACTGAAGCACAGGGAGACTAAATGATTTCTGTTTTTATTTTTATTGTTTTGAAGACAAGGTCTCATTCTGTTGCCCAGGCTGGAGTGCAGTGGTGCAATCATAGCTCACTGCATCATTGAACTCTGGGGCTCAAGGGATCCTCCCACCTCAACCTCCTGAGTAACTAGGATTGCAGGCACATGCTATCATGCCCAGCTAAGTTTTTTTTTTTTTTTTTTTTTTTTGTAGAGATGGGATCTCACTATGTTTCCCAGGCTGGTCTTGAACTCCTGGGCTCAAGTGATCCTCCTGCTTTGGCTTCCCAAAGTGTTGAGATTACAGGTGTGAGCCACTGCGTCTGGCCCCAGACTAAGTGACTGTATATGTGAATACATGAATGTTAGAATTGAAAGGCACAGTGAAGATAATCTAGATGAACTCCGTCATCTTATATAGAAGTGGAAATAGGGGAGGATGGAGAGGAGAAATGGCATGGTCATAGTTAACCACTGGACCCAAGCTAGCACTCAGGTATCCTGACTTCCTGTCCAGACCTCTTTTCTTCTCTATTTACTCTTGTATTTATTCTCAGTAGTCGAATCTGGGCAAAAAGTCCTCTTCATATCTTACCTACAACTTTCTTCTCTTACTACCTTGTTATTGGTTGCAAAAACTTTATGGAAATCTCATTAAACTAATTGAAACCGATTTCGTACTCTTCCTCAAGTTATTTGACAAAGTTTTACTCTAGAGAAGAGAAATTCCATGGGGAAGTCAGTCTCTTGACGATAGTATGTGGCTTACTTTGTTTTAAATAGTTCAAGAATCTTGACATTTAATCATAGCCCTTGGACTTTGAGTAGGGGGATAGGTTTTCTGCATCAAACAGGATTGGAGAATCTTTGGGTTTGCTGCTTCCTGTGGTGTTTGTTTATTTCTTAGATGTTCTAAATTCAAATATTAACCATGATACCGATCCCCTGAATTTTCCTTATTTGTGTGATTTATCTTACACAGCATCTACTTTGTTTTCTAAAAGCCCTCAGGACCGTTGGTGATTTTTCCTTGGGGACAAAGTCTGATCATTGAATTGCAGTAGCAACCACCATCCAGTACCAATAGAAGGCAGCCTAATGTTGTTGGAAGAGCACAGGTTCTGAGTTAGTAATCTGGCAAATAACTAGTGTGTGGCCTTGAGAAGCACGTTAATCCTGCTGTGCCTCTGTTGCCTCACTGATAAACAGAGGAAGTTGGAGTAAAATCTCTCTACCTATGGTAGATTGTAATATTTTTC